TTATATTGGGTTTAGGGTTTAGGTTTTAGGGTCTAAACTCCTTAAAGGGGGTTATATAGGGGTATATACAGGGGAGTGTTATAGGGATTCTTAAGGGGGATACTAGGAGTTTAGATTGTAGCTCATGTCCTACCTGGAGCTTCTTACTCGGGGTTTCAACGAGGCCCCAGTTGTCAGGCTTAGGGTTTCAGGTTTAGATAAGGGAATGAATTGAAGAGGCGCTTAGCTAACCACTCGTAAGGCTTCGTGGGGAATGGAAAAGAGAATGTTTGCTACTTTAGGGTTCAGGATTGCAAAAGAAAGCAGAAGCTACTGCAGCTCCTAGGGTTCGGTGAAATGACTGTCTCTACTGCACAGTGTTTAGGGTACCCTAAACCCTAATCCCCTAAACGTAGCCTAGAGTAGCCCTTGTTGAATCCCTTGTACTACTGCTACTAATTCCATCCCCCTATTCCCTAAACCCTAAACCTTTTGTACTACTGCTAATATTCCATCCCCTATACCCTAAACCCTAAACCCCTTGTACTACTGCTGATATTCCATGCCCCTATTGCCTGCTAAGCGCTTGAGGCTTAGGGTCCTTGGTCCGGTCATGCCTGGTCCATGTCTGGGGAGAATGGAAAAGAAAATGGAAACGACTTTAATGGGTTATTTATAAGGGTATATGGGGTTCTTTAGGGATTATATAGGGATCACGGGAAAATGGAAGCTACTATTTAGGGTTAAGGGTTTAGGGTTTGGGGTTTAGGTTCTGGGTTTCGGATTTTTTTTCAAAGCATGGGGTTGGGGTGTAGTGTGGTGTCGTGCTTTGCGCGGTTTTTGTTTTAAGCGCCGAGCTGGTCGTTTGTGGCCGTCACGGGTGTTATATGGGATACGTGTAAGGTTCTTACAGGCAAGTCAAATGTTGCTGAAGGGGGGGATGCCTTAGGACTTCATGGGTGTTCCAGCTTGTTAGGGCAATGGGTCACTGTTGGATCACATAAAATGCTTGTTTATGTAGTTCTACTGACCTCCAATGGGACCATAATCTTGAGAGGCTCTGTGCCCCGCCCAGGAGGGATGCCAGAGCTTTCCGCATTTGTCGCAAGCTCAGTACTGGTGCTGCCCGAAGCGATTCTCCGAGCTTATGTGGGGAGATGGGGTTTAGTGTTGAATGGCCCCAAACATGCTGCATGTCTGCTCTGTATTCCATTCGGAGCTAGCCGTTTGGCAAAAGAAGAGGGAGATCTCTGCTGATAGCCCGCCCGCTTGAGACAATGGCCGCTATTCAAGGCGTGCTGCTCTTCGTTCTGCTTCGTGGTAGCTTGAGCTCCCCGGCGCTACGAGGGCCATCTGGCTCTGAGCAGAACATTGCTGCCAACAGCTCTGGACGGTTATTGGGCCTCTCCTCGGGCTCGACCAACTGGCCACACCCGGGATGCTGCAATGGCTGCCATTCGAATTTCTGCTCGCCAGTCAGTGGAAGCTGCTATAGCATGCAGGGGAAGAACTACTACCTGCAGTGTGCAAGTGCAGGGCAAGGTGTGCAAACTGGCGGGCAGGGCTGGCAGAGTGGCGCAGGCCAAAACCCACAGATTCCGCAGAATGGCGGACGGGGCTGGCAGAATGGCCCAGGCCAAAACCCACAGAGTCCGCAGAATGGCGGACAGGGTTGGCAGAACGGCCCAGGCCAAAACACACAGAGTCCGCAGAATGGCGGGCAGCGCTGGCCGCACGCGGGATGCTGCAATGGCTGCCATTCGAATTTCTGCTCGCCAGTCAGTGGAAGCTGCTATAGCATGCAGGGGAAGAACTACTACCTGCAATGTGCAAGTGCAGGGCAAGGTGTGCAAACTGGCGGGCAGGGCTGGCAGAGTGGCGCAGGCCAAAACCCACAGATTCCGCAGAATGGCGGACAGGGCTGGCAGAACGGCCCAGGCCAAAACCCACAGAGTCCGCAGAACGGCCCAGGCCAAAACACACAGAGTCCGCAAAATGGCGGGCAGGGTGGCCAGCAAAGCGGGCGCTACCAAACCTGCCAGCGCGAGGACCACGGTTCTTGGTTCATGTACAAGTGTACGGATTACAACCGACAGACATGGCTCTGCTCCAGTGATTTCAAGAGCTGCAACCGCGTCTGATGACAAGAAGAAGGTACATCCATAGACCCAGGTTTCCGTGTTGTCCGGCTTTTGTACCACACTTACCACACCCTGCCTAGCAGGGGGCGTCATTTGTCCAAAGGGTATATCTCTTGTGCAGTGTAAAGTGAGGTGCCCTGGACGTGCCAGCGAAGTCCTGGACCAGCAGGTTTGCTGCGAGCTACACCAGCAGCAGCAGCTTCCTTTTGGAGACGCCATACCGCTTTTCAGAAAGAGGGGATGCCCAGAGGGTTGCAGAACACCACTTACATCTAAACTCTAGGCCGAAAGCAGCTGCAGAGCGTTGTACACATTCCCTGGCACTTAGAGTCAGAGGCTTCCTTCGGCAATCTGCGTTCTTTCATGGTTCCTAGCGCATCACCTGACTCTCATGGGGCCCTTTTGGCCCTAACTCCATGCCATCATTTGGCCTATTCATGTGGTAGATTTGAGCACTTTGCCAAGGAAGACAGCGATCCTGAAAAGGAGCTTTCGAAGGCCGAGGGTGAGGCCCGGACTTATCCAGCTATGGACAGCCGCAGCAGGGCATCGTTGATGTCGCCCTTTTATCTATCCCAAACTATTAGAAAATCCTTGATATAGGGACCCGACGAGAAGAGACCCCTACGTGATTCTTGCAAGGCCTACAACCTATACAACCCACGGTAGCCCCTATGATTCTCTTGAAGCCATTTTTTTTGAAAGCTGCCATGGGCAGTCTCTATTCAGCTCCGCTACGCAGCTCTCAGGCTAAGTCTTGCAGGGTCCTGACTGATGTAATCGCTCCCCTACGCCCATTTTTTAGATTGTAGATAGATAGTTAGTTGCCGAACGCACTGCGGCATGTAGATTTCTAGGGCGTGTGGAATTTTCGTCTAGAAGCTTGAAGATTACCCCCTACGATCGAAATGCATTTGATTATTGAAGCCAGTTCAAGCCATAGTACTACAGAATATCGGCACTCTGTCATTGCAGGCGACAGATGCTGCTTGGGCCTTACAAGCGCCTTGTGCATGGTTGAGACCTTAAGCTACAGCCAGATCGGTGTTTCAGACTTGGGTGCGTGCGTGCGAAATGACATTGGTTCCCTTGCTAGGTGGTTGCCCTCAACCCTGAACACAGAACCCTGAGGTTCAAGAAGCCGTGAAGAAGGAAGTGCACCCTGGATTGAGTGGGAGATGCCATGTTCTTAAGTTTTAAGTCCCTGAGTAGGATTTTTTGAACATGTTCGCATCTACTTAGTGTGTATCGATTGTCGGTAGTACTTACATTCGTTAAATTTGGCTGGGGCATCTCTGTTCACTGGGACCGCCGCTGCAGTGACATTTCGATTTCATGCTTCACGCGAAGAGCGGGGTCCTTCCACATCGTTGCATACCGGACGTGAAACAAATTCCGACCTTAAGGTAGACAAACAATGTTTGACACACCCTTCTTTTTTTCACTGAAGCATGGAAAGGACAGCGAGCATCGTGGGCTAGCGAAAGCATATGGCGTGAGCTGAGGGACAAGGTGGAGGATGATACCGACAAGATTCTGGACAAAGATCCAGACTCGACAAGGCGCCCTCCTCTGCGCTGTCATTGCCGCAATGCTTCTTTTAATGGATACTTCCTTCAATGAAAGAGCTAGAATGACAGTCTCCACTCAGTATCCTTCTCCTGTCAGGATAGCATACAACACCGCAGATGCGGTGCACATGTATACCCAGAACAAGATGGTTCCCATGTTTGGCCCGACACCTGGGAGTTTGGGTGCCTGACTCATGTGAGACAAGCTACTTGCATTGCTCTGGATGTGTCTGAATGCTTGTCGAATGTCTGGTTGGTGCATCAAAAAATCTCCTCAATAGGTTTGTTCATGTACTTACGGGGATCCCATTCAGAATGAGATTTGTGAGAACATCCTCCCTGTAATTCTTATGTTGAAGCGGGGCCCTTCAAATAGTTGGACCACGGCCCATATGCGCCGTGGTCCAGGAGCACTTTTCTGGTCATCGCAAAAACTTTCACTAATGCGTTCTGAAGGAGAATGAGGTTTTCATTCGGTGCCGAGCCTGTGTTTGCTGTTTTGCGTCTCCTGAACTGTGTGACGGCTCATCCCGTCCGCCCGCGTGATGTGAAGTTTTCGACCGATGTTGACGTTGCGACGCAAACGAACGGGTTAGCAGAAGCTGTCCAGCAGTCCCAGTCTCTCTCAGCCCCAAGAGCCTACATGCGGTTACTGGAGCGTCCATGCCCAAAACACAAATATCGTTCGTGTTCCAAGAGCACACGGTCTCCGCGCTATGAAGAGACCGTTTCGATGGCGCTCTTCAAGTAGTTTTACGTGCAGCGAAACCCTCATTTCAGCAAATACCAAACGGGCCACGTCACAATTTGGGTTGTGGTCCTAGTGGTTAGCAGAGCTTTTAGGCACATTGGGTGACAGCACCTCACTTATACCCCGAAAAAGTCTTACGCTTGTGTTGATCGCACCCACAGTAGGAGCGCAGAGTCATCTTGTTAAGCATTGCGTTATCATTTCGATAATTGGCGAAGCATCAGAAGCGGACTCTATTTTAAACCTTGGCAGCAATTGCAGTTCTGAAAAATTGTCATATGTCCTCATGCTGCGCACAGGCTCTGCCAAAGAACGCGTAATCATTTTGTCTCTGAGAAGCTTGACAAAGCGGAATGATGGTAGTTCACAGGCGTCTGAGGTCCCTGTGAGCCTCCCATTGGCCGATACTGCCTATTGGAGAACCCCTCTTGACTGTCTTTCGCTCAGCTGGCGGGTTGACTTCACGGAAGATCAACGACCTCATCACAGAATCCAGGCCTTCGCTGTTGTTGCTGGAGCCGAAGAGCATAAGGTTCAGGGAGCAGGTTCAAGGCCCAACAGTCCCTGCATTAGGTACGGGCTTCATTTCCTTAACCCTCATCCCTATGTAGTCCCCCCATCTCAATAGAAGCTATGCTTGTTCGAAAACCCCTCCAGAGCGGGGTTCGGATCGTGCAGCAGGTTTGAGAAAATGGCCATTGACATGGCGATGGCACAGTTTCTCCCGGGATGAATGCATATTTATCCAATCGAAACCTCCATTGCCTGCATATCCATATGCATGGTTGGAGTGTTACTGTCTCTTAGTGCAGTGCGCAGCAGCGAGGTGCAGGTGTGATCCGTGATAAACGGGCGCAAGATAGAAATCACAGTCACCAGCAGTTCGGGAAGCAGCAGCTTTGCATGTTTGTGTCACATCTCGGTTCGGAATTCAGGTTGGAATGCTGTGCAAGCCTGCGAGCCACTAGAGTGAAGTTTGCTTGCCCCCAATCCTTGCGTCTTGGCTTGCAGACGTTGAGCGCGACAGCCTGAAGCCATGGGTTTGTAAGCGAGTCAATTCCCTTTGAGGACTGTGCACAGGCTGCATGCGAAACAATTGGGTCCAGTATCAAGTCCTGCCCCCGAAGGCCTCCTGCTCCTTCCCAGGGGATACGGATGGGTTGACAAGCCACGGTTCAGCTGTATTTGTTGATTCCATCAATGTGCAACCAGAGGACGTTTCATTTGAGAGCATCGTGTGATCAAAGCCGCTTTGCAAATAATTAGGGAGCCTGCGCAAGTAAGTTTTGAGGCCGGATAGTGACCGGCACAAAACACTTGGAACCGTAGACAAAGTCCAAGACAATCCCCAGCAGTCAAAAAAAAGTGGTTTCCTCAACAGAACGGCACTTGTTTTCAGGACACCTCAAGCCCTGAATCCTCAACTCTCGTGTAATTCACAGAACAGGCAGCTGCTTCACAAGGTGCACAGCAAGCTGAATGGGATGAAGGCCCACAGGTTCAGGGTTGGGGGTTTATGGTGGGTTGTCAAAAATTATGGTACCCAATAGGGTAATATTAGGGTTATATTAGGGTTATATTAGGCTTATATTAGGGTTATTCTGGGGTTATATTAGGCTTATATTGGGGTTATATTAGGCTTATATTGGGGTTATATTAGGCTTATATTGGGGTTATATTGGGGTTATTCTTGTAACAAATGCCTTGACTTCCCGGACTACCTCTCAATTTTGCTGCAGGCTATCGCAGCCTGGGCTTGAATTGGATGATGTATGCATATCTTAGTCTAAATTTCATTATAGGGGGTATACTGCGGCAAAGGGGGATTCTCTATAGTGCGTATTTGGGGGGGCATTCACGGGGATGCTAGGAGCTAAGACTATTTGCTCATAGAGTCTATCGTATTGATGTGTATTGAACTAACTTGTCATCACGCCCATACAATTTATTCCACGTGAGTCCAAGTTGGATTCAGAGAGGAGAGTTGCTGCAACCGCAACATTCAACTTGCAGCCAAGTCCGTTCCAACAGAAGGTGTCCTCAATCTTCCTCAGGGCCTCTAGGTTCTAGCACCAACCATGAAGCCAAAGCAGAAAAAACAAGTCCGTATACTCGCGGCCTGGAGCAGGTGAAGCCGACAGATGTAGGACAGGGCCATGGGGGTTTGTGACTGAGGAATTAAGAGTCAGAGGTTGCTCGGTTTTGTGTGGGGCATGTGTGTGAGACTCGGACTTGATATTCTGTAATTGCGACGATTAGAATATGCTTCCGTTAGTGGCCAAGCAGGCATCTGTGAGGGGCGGTAGCCAAGTTTGTCTGATGGCCACAGTATGCTCTAAACCCAATCTTAGGTTCTGGAAGTTCAATAATGTAAGTAACCTGGGTAGATGGAGCTAGACGCGAAGAACGATTGGCCGAGATCTGCTTTCTCTCTCCAAATATCGGGCCAATGTTCAATCAGCACTCGAGTCCAACTTGCCCCAGATTGGGTGAATCGGAGGTGAATTCACGCCCTCACCAACGTAGGCGCCTTCTGGGCTTAAATGCTAGCCTCTGAGCCTAGTAGGCTATTCTTCGCACACCTCCAATGGCCAACACCTCCGTTCCACAGAGCCCCATAACACCATAACCTTTCAGAAAAAGCCAAACCTGCAGCACTCCAAAGGCAAAACTCAACC